GTGAATAATGCTGCTCTGAACATGGGTGTGCAAATATCTCTTCAAGACTCTGTTTTCATTTCTTTTGGTTATACACCCAAAAGTGGAATTTCTGGATCATTCAGTAATTCTAGTCTTAATTTTTTGAGGAACCATCATACTGTTTTCCACAGCAGCTGTACCATTTTACATTCCCACCAACAGTGCACAACAGTGACAATCCCCACATCCTCGCCTACACTTGTTGTTTCCTGTGTTTGATAGTAACCCTCCTAACAGGTAGGCGGGTACCTCATGTTGGCTTTTGCATTCATTTCCCTAACAATTACTAATGCTGAGCATCTTTTCATGTTTTAATCGGCTCCTTGTAGATTTTCTTTGGAGAAATGTCTATACAAGTCCTTTGCCCATTAAAAAAAAAAAATCAAGTGGTTTCAGACTAAGACATTTTAATTACTAAGCTGAAATGAAATTTGGTAGGTAAAATTTTTTACTTGTGTTTAAGAATGGAAGGAAGACTGTTTAAAAAAAATGTTACCAAAGGAAGAAGAACAGAGTAAGATGGAAGACACTGGCATAGAAAGTAGAATTTCTAAATATAACATATATTTTACTTAGGACTCTAGAGACTGACACTAGAATCCAGTTTCCCTGACTCCTGATTAGCACAATGGTCACTAAACTAGTTCTCAAACCATGTTTTCTCATAAAGATTCTTTCTTTCAATTATGGCCTGACATATACCCAGACTAGTCCATACTTATAGAAAATACCCACATTTTCTTAGAATTTATTTTATGTTATTTTTAAGCAAACATAAACCACTTTGGGGGGAATAATGATTATAGAAAAGGAATTGTATTACAAAAATATCTTATTCTTTGCAAATAAATGAAATTCTTATAGAATATGCAAGAAATTACTTATCATGACCTCAGGAGGGATCTGGAAGATTAGAGGAGAAAAGCATAGGGAGAGAGTATTCTACTTTTTGCAGTCCGTCCTTCTGTATCATTTGAACTTTGCACCACCTTTATGTACCACTTCTTCAAAAAGATTCTAAATTTTCATTTCAATTAAAAAAAATACAAAAATAGAGACCCACATTTAAGCAACTTACAACTTAAAATATAAATTTTTAAGATAGTGGAGACATCAAAATTTGGCTTTCTTGTCCATATACCTTGTGCTTTAGCCTCAAACACATCTTTGTGAATGGAGATCACTGACATTTTCTAGGAATAACCAAAAAATGTAGGGTAAATCTGGATGGCATGGAAGATGGGGCTATTCTCTGTCCCAGATTTTGTGGGTCCTGTTCTCCAAAGACATTAGCAAGTTCAGGGGTCTACAACTTGCAGCACAGACCTTGGGAAATGGAGGAAGTGGTTCAGAACAAAAAGTGAAGTTCTGTGTCCTCAGATGCATGATTAATTCCACTTTTAGCTGAAAGATCCTCAACAGAGGGTTGGGAGTTTTTTCCAATTTTTTCCTTTTTCTTTGTGTGTGTGTGAAGTAATTAGGGTTTCTATTTATTTGTTTGTTTGTTTATTTTAATAGAGGGACTGGAGATTAAACCCAGGACTTTGTGCATGCTGAGCACGTGCTCTACCACTGAGCTACATTTTCCTGCCTCCAGGGAAATTTTGATAGAAAGTTACACCAAGAAATAGTGTTTGGAGATGGGGGTTCATAGATGTTCCTTGATTTAGCTCTAATACTCATGCACTTCCCACAGGTCCTGAAATGTGTGCAAATAAGTCCCCAAGATCCTCTCCAATTTGTTTCTAATATTTAAAATTCTTCCTTATGCGAGGCTGGAATTCAGCAGGTTCAAAATGTGTAGTTATTTCATTTTTCTTAAGAGTCTGGAACATTAGTCAGCCCTGATTTTTCAAATTGTTCCCTTTGTAAGAAGTATAACATCCTGTCCAGTAGGAATGGTTTTCTTCACCATGTTCTTCTATTATTTAGAGTTAGGACCAATTTTTTACTTCTTAGGGGGTCTGTCTAACATGATGGTTGAGGGTGCAGGTTTTTGGGTCCGGCTGCCGGAGTTCAAATCCTACTTCGGTGGTCCCAGCTGTAACAGGAGGGTGATGAGAGTGTCTCCCTGACTCACCGAGGTGTCCAGAGGATCAAATGGGATGAAGCGTTTGGCAAGATGTGTCATGTACGTGAATCACTAGTAAATTACCTACTTATTATTTTTCAACTTTTTTGTTTTTGGAACCTCAGGAGTACAAAGTTAGATTCATCAGAATGCTTGGTTCATAACCCACTCTCCTCCTTGGCCTGTGTATGGTGCTGTCTTATTCATTTCATTTCATTTGTGTTGTGTAAATTTTGGTCTATTAACTTGATTGATACTATATCAGACACACGCTGACCCACTCAATCCTAGAACTAGAATATTACTATTAATTTGCATCTACTTAAAAGCTCATAGCCTTCACCCCTCCCAGAGATAACCTCTGTCTTGAATTTTGTGTTACTCTTTTTTTTTAAATTGAGGTATATTCAGTTTACAACATTGCATCAATTTCTGGTGTACAGTATAATGTTTCAGTCATACACATACATACATATATTCCTTTTCAGATTCTTTTTCACTGTAGGTTATCATAAGATAATGAATATAGTTCCCTGTGCTCTACAGTACAAACTTGTTTACCTATAGTGTGTATCTGCAAATCTCAAACTCCCAATTTATGCCTCCCCACCCCCTTCCCTCCGTGATAACCATGTTTGTTTTCTATGTCTGTAAGTATGTCTCCATTTTGTAAATAAGTTCATTTGTGTCCTTTATTTATGTTTTTAGATTCCACACATAAGTGATATCTTCTTCCTTAAGCATGGTTCCCATTAGGTCTTTGAGCACATATACAATGGTGGCTTTCAAGTCTTTGTTAATTCTGACATCTGGACCCTCGCCCAGGCAGTTTCTCTTGCCTACTCTGTAACCTGTCTGAATTACGCTTTCCTGTTTCTTTGCACGTGTCGTAACGTTTTGTTAAAAAGTGGACATTTTTTTGTGGGATCTCTGAATAATGATTTAATTAATTTATTTATTTTAATTTTTATTGTGGGATCTTTGAACAATGATTATTTTTTCCTTTCTTTCTTTATTTTAATTTTTATTGTGGGATCTTTGAACAATGATTATTTCTTCCTTTCTTTATTTTAATTTTTATTGTGGGATCGCTGAACAATGATTCCAGTTACCCCTCCACCCCGAGATTGTCACGATTGGTTTTTTTTATTTAATTACTCAGCTGGACTAATTTAGTGAAGTTTATTTTCCCTTCAGTGGGATGTCTCTGGTTTCTTCCTTAGAAGGTGCAGCCTTGGACATGCACACAGCCACTTGAGGTGACGGGTTCCCTGAGCTGTCTGTTCAGGTGTCTGCCTTTGTTGGTGTCACAGTCGGAAGTTAGCTCCAACTGCCAGCTGAGTGCTTGGGTTTTGATGACAACCTGGAGCATGAGTTGCACTGAATCGATCGGATCCAGTTAGATCGGGTCTTTTTGCAGAAGCAGTGTTTGAGGCTTGTCCTTGAGTTTGTTAGGGCCCCAGAGGGGCTCGTCTTACCTGCCTCTTTCCCTGGTTCACTCTGGTAAGTTCGCTTGTTCTAATACAATTTAGTTTGTTATGATTGTGGAGCTGTCAGCCTCCTCTAAATTGTTAACCACCAAATTCTCCAGTGTTCAGGAGAGCACCCTTAGGCTCAAACTTCCCCCACATCCTTCCAAATAAAATTACTGCCTTTGGGGAGAGCTTCAGAGCTCTCTGTGCTTATGGCTCGCCTCTCCCCAGGGAAAAATCTGATTCATTGCTCTGGACTTTGGGGTGGGGACCGTGACCTGCTTCTCTGGGATTGATACCCCCGCATTACGAGCAGAACTCAGTTTGAATGGTACCCTCTGGTCCTCTCCTGGCATCGAAACATCACCCTCTGAGCGAACCAGGGAGAGAACCAGGGTCCCTGTATTCTTGACCCCCTGCACATTGGGTAGAGCCTCCACCCTATGACCCTATGAGCGAGAGCTGAGGAGAGGGAGGGAGTCTCCACCTCTTGGCTGCACTTACCTGGAATTCAGCCTTTGCAGCACAAAACTAGGGGGGCCTGAGAAATCCTGGCAGCCTCGCTCCCTGGGCCCTTGATTGCAAACCTGGAGGAGAGGAGACACCAATGCCACACACTCCTAACGTTCTTACAAGATTTAGATTTTCCCGGATGTTCCTTCTTTTGCTGTATGCCCTTATGACAACATGCAGAGACTTTAAATGGGTTTTTTTTTAAACTTTTTTCATCAGTTATGACAGCTTTGGTGAGGAGCTGGTCAGAGAGCCTCATGTAGCCATTCCAGAAGTCATTTGTCTACTTACTGTTAATATTGTACAGTTTGTCTCACCAATAAATAGTGTAAAATAATGAAAGTTTATTCATATCCCTTAGGGTATTTTAAGCATGAAATTTTTATAATCTCAAAACCCCAAATACCATGAATTTAGAAAAAGAATGAATAAAAGTGATCAAGATTTTGAGAGTTAAAAACAAAAATTTATCACTCCGAAAAGGATGTCAGTAAAATAAAACCACATCCAAGATAAAAAATTACCAAGACACAGAATGGTAAGAGAATGTTACTTCAAGCCAACTTTCTGTTCTTTTAAGGACAAAATTATAATTGCTTTCTTGCTTGTTGGTAAATAAGTTTGCACTGATAATTTTTCTTTCACATCAAGGATTGTATTTTAATACACAACTATATAAAACCAGAATGCCCAGTAATACCAGTTTACCACCAGTCAAGAGCAATTCTCTTCACTCATTGGTCCTTAACATCAGGAAAATTCATCGCCAAACAGGCAGATCTGTTCTTTGTCCTTTACATGCTATTCATGGCTCTCTTTTAAAAATTTTGGAACACAATGGAGTTTTCCTTTTGTAGATCAAATGGACTTTTAAATATATTATGTCACGTACTGACTTCATAAAAGCCATAGGTGTTGGTATGTGTATTTGTACATAATTTTTTTAATATCTAAAGAGGATCAAAGAATATGACTTTAATCTAAAAAGTAATCCATATCAAGTGAAACTTTCACTTGCCTCCACCATTACAGTTAATACTTCTAAGAAAGGGATGACAAATTTCAGTTAAAAGAAAAAAATCTCACGTACTTGGATTACGAAGTAAAACGTTTTGCAAATCATTTTAGACACGACTGTTTCTTTACTGCAATGACAATTATTTTTCATAGACATAACAGGTACACAATTAATAAACATTTATTTTACAAAACTTTAAAACTTCTTTAATTTGGAATTTGAAAGTTCGAACGAGGCAGTAGTTCAACGTGAAGTCTGTACTGGCATGAAAAACGAGTGAAAAAGAAAAGTGGTAACAAATTCTACCCTAATCCGGAAACTTATTTGAAAGAAACTAAGCAGAACTGCTCAGATGTCAATGGCACACAGAGAACGGGTGTCCACTTGTCAGGGATATTTTACAAGGGGTTTTGTAGGTCAGGCACGTGCTCAGTGATGTCTAGGTCCCTTCTAATTCTAAAATTCTACAGTTTTCCTGGTAGTTCTATTAAGAAAGTTATTTCTTCCCACTATTATTGCCAGCTTATGTTACTCCTCGATGGAAGTTTTAGGATGTTACTCTATGTGCTTAAAATAAAGGGCATCCTTCGGAACAGGCTGAAACTCACAGGGGTCTCCTGCCCACCTGCTCCAGACTGAGACCCAGCCCCTGTCGTTTCAGGCTGAGTTTCGCGCTGCATGGACAGGACCTATTTTAGCCAAAGTGTTCTCCCCTTCTTGGCATTGTTAGAAACAATACAACAGACAAAGTGAATTTTAAAGACAAAATGACTGTTTAAAACATTTCAACAAATGTTACATCTCAGATTCAGAGATAAGCACCTGTACCTCAAACTCCCCGTTAAACATAATAAATGATTTAAATGCAAACGGTTGGTATACATGATGCTTGCTCAGTCCTCTCCAAATACCGATTTACGTCTGTCATGAAAAAAAAAAGTAGCTTCAGGTTAAATCACAACGCTAAGGCGCTAAGTCATAGTGACGATCATTTTTACAATTCAGTGTTGGATGCTTGGTTCTGAGGACACACACACACACAGATTTTCTTTTACGTAGATGATAATTTAGATTTAAGATACCTACTTTGCAAAATATTCACCCACGTGTCCTCCAGGAATTGCTAGAGACATGAAATGTGAAAACAAACTATTTGGAGACTCTGTGGTTTCCAAAAGCAGTAATGAGACCCATGAATAACTGGAAAAAGTCCTCTGTTTTCTTAGAGTTAGTTCTAAACGTCATCAGATTTCAGGTAACCGTAAAAATCAAATCTCCAGGAATCAAGCACTGCCCGCTGGCACCATGGCAGCGAATCACAATGAAAACCAGGTCTACAAAAGACACTCCTGAACACCACCGCGGCATCTTTTCAAATGTTCTGTGCAGCACTCTGAAATACAAAATCATCACCATGGGAGCGGTTATTCTCAATCTAAGGAGGTAATCCCTACAGGAGAACTTATTCATGCAGAACTGTTTTCATTTCCAATACATGAAAAACTTCTCACCAAGTCAGAACACAACTCACAGTCTGAACAGAATCGTCAGTGTTTTAAATCTCAACATTCCAAGCATTACGTATCAAGATGCTTCTGAACAGAGCTAACATTCACTTAGGTAAATGGGGTATCATTTCAAACTCGTGCTAAAAGTGAAGAAATCATTTTTTATGTGAAGCCTTGGCCAAAATCAATTAGTCAAGGGCAAGATTTCCATACTACAGTACAAGTCAAACTCTACCAACACAATACACCTGGTTAGAGATTTGGATGCAGGTGTAACTACAGTTGGGGAATTGGATGTCCCTTGGCTCAGAGCAGGGACAGAAAAAAGCGAACCATGGACCAGGTCACCATCTTCATTACTTCGTGGATAGCAATGCTTACTTTATTTATTGAAGGATGTATCTTCCACTGGAGATGCACTTCTAACTCTATAATGCTAGACAGTGGGGGGAGAGAAGGGCCCACTTTTAAAAATCAATTTTGTAGCATTATTTAACCATTTAGAGTCAGTATGGAATGACTCATTTTCTGCTCAGAAGACAACTGATCTTTTTTTTTTCTTTTTAAAGTATTGACTTGCCAACTTTGACAAGTGATTAAGAAAGACAGATGAATCTTCTGACTTGACAAACAAGAATGTGTGAATAAGAATATATATATATTCTGAGAAGTTATGTCCCTTGCTTCTGATTTAAGACGTAACTAAGTTCTTTCAATAAACTGCATTAATTAAAAATGTTACGCTTTAAACCGAAATCATCCTCACTGTACTGTTCTCATTCTCTTTTTTATGTTTCTGTCATTTCTAGAAATACTCAAATTAAAAAACAAAAATCCCCAATCTGGAAACCAACTTATATGGGAGCTCTGAGGTTACTTTATAACTTTTAAAATACTTTGTTAAAATGTAAAAACGCTGACATTACAAACTAAAAAAAAAAATTACAATTTTACAGTATATATCTAATTTATTCTTTTTAAAAAAATATTCTGAATGGTTTTTATACAAGTAATCAAGTGTAATCTTTTCAAACGAAACTCCCCTGTGGGCTAGAAGAGGGGTGTGTGTGTGGTATCGCCCCGTTAAAAATCGACATAAATTTCACTTTTTTTACGCTGGGACTTCCACGATTTCGAAATAGTCATTGGGCAGGATCACGTAGCCCCTCTCCGAGACGTCGTCTTTCTCCTTCTGAAAGTGCGCCGCCTCCTTTAACTTCTCCAGCTGCCGTTCCTGCCTCCGGCACCGCTGCTGGGCGGTCTTGAGCTTCTTCCTGAGCTTCTCCACCTGCTGCTCCAGCTGGTGAATCCGCTTCCTCTGGTGCATGGTGTCCTCCACGGTGTAGTTGTGGTCGCAGAACACGGACAGGTTATCGGGGGTCTGGAGCGGGGGCATGAGCAATCCGATGGCAGCGTCGACCTGGGAGATGGGCGGGGTCAGGGGAGGCGGGGGCTGCTGCTCCGGTGGCTCCAGGTCTTCCTTCTGCAACAAGAATGCAGAGAACGTCTGGATTTCGTAACTCAAAATAACAGTTGGAAAGACTTCATCTGCGGAATTTAAGAACAGTAGACATTTTTCCTGTTGCCTTGCTATGGAAACATTCCAAAATGAGAAAACAGCTCAAGTTTTTTTTTTTAATATCTTTTTTTTTTTTATTAGCAGGGGGAGGTAATCAGGTTTGTTTATTTGCTTTTTTTTTAGAGGAGTTACTGGGGAATTGAACCCAGGACCTTGTGCATGCTAAGCACATGCTCTACCACTTGAGCTATACCTTCCCCCTCCTGAAGTTTTAATTATACTTTTCTACCTGAAGTAGTCCTGGGATGCAAGAAAGAGCCAGATTAGGCAGATTTAATTAAATGCTAAGCACTTAAAACTGAGGGGGAAAATACATTGAAACTGAAGTATCACTGATACAGAAAAATCAAAACTTACCAGCCTACAAGTGGGAAGAGAGAGGAATCTTAAAGTGACAAAGCTAGACTGACTTTCTTAGGGTGAGGATATTCAACTTTTAATAAACCGCACATTGTATTTTTAAAAAGTATTTCACTGTAAACAGTGGTTATTGACAAGTGATAGGTTCCAGGTAACATTCCTTTTTTTTTTTTTTTTGTAGGGTATTTAAGATTTTTTTTTTCATTTTTCAGCTTTATTAGGTAAAACTGATACAATTTGACTGCGCATATACAATAACATTTTCTTACTACTTCTCTGGGTTTTCCCAATTTTCCACAACGGACACAGTAACATTATCCACAGAAAACCACCCAATAAACACGTGTTACCTTGTCATGTGGTTCCGTGCAAAGAAATATTGTGGGAACAGCGTTCTCTTTCAGTAACTTGTTGTTGCACTCCCTCTTGAAGCAGTCTGGGGTGAAGTGTTCTGAGCAAATACTGCTGTACTTGGTGGGCTTAAAGTTTTTTCTTCGGACAGCCGCCTCCCATTTTTTACAAAGACTGGGTCGAGT